GGCGTTATTCGGACCTCAGTGCAGGCGGTCCAGCTGGGACTTCGGGAGTCACCCGGAAGAGTCCCAAGACAGTGGCGCCCTGGGTAAGCTGCCAGGCATGGTGTGTGCCGGCGTCAGTGTGCAGATGGACGCCCAGGCGCTGGCCGGCACCCAGGTGCAGCAGGCAGCTCCGGAAACCGAAGGCCGAGTTCCGAGCCTCGGAGGAGGTGGGTGGCAGGTCCACGGTCACAGCCAGGGCGGTGGCCCCAGGAGCAGGGCGCTGCGGCTGCAGGTGCAGCGCAAGTGAGACGGAGCCTGAGCCCTGGCCGGCCACCACACGGTGCAGCTCTAGTTGCAGGAAGACGTAGTAGACGCCAGCCGTGCCTACCACCAGCTCCTTCGTGTCTTCCTCATAGCTCAGGCCCCGCGCCAGGGACACGCCTGCCAGGCCGGGGTCGCTGTACCAGCTCAGGGGACCGTCGGTCAGCAGAACTGTGGGAGGAGAGGATGCACTTAGCTTAGCTGAGCATTGCTGAGAACCGAGCATGGGGGGTGGGGGGTGATTGAAGGGGACTGAGGTGGAGGGGGTACTCTGAGATGGGGCTGGGGGAGGGAAAGACGGGGATAGAACAGAAGAAGAGGATCCAGGGACAACAGTCAGGAGAGGGCAGAATTCCAAAACGTTGGGTGGGGAAGGAGTAATGGAGGTGCAGGGACAGACTGCCAGGAAGAGGAAGAGGGGGTGAAAAGCAAAAGGCAGAGTGCCTCTGGCTGGAAGAACCCTCAGGGAGGGGTGGGGGACTCCTGGAGAGGACAGTGAGGGTGGAGGGAGCGGCAGATCCCAAAATGAAGGAGGGGGAGTGGAGAGAGAGAAGGCAGGGAGGGGGGGGGGAGAGGTGGAGGAGGCGGGATGGAGGGGGGGGAGGCTGTTAAGAAAGGGGGAAGTTCTAGAGGAAGGATGGATCAGGGAATCAAGGTGACTTTGAGAGGGGTGGACAGAGGACCTGGTGAGAGAGGACTTCGAAGAAAGGAAAAGGGAGGAGGAAGTGCCTAGGAGAGGGGAGGGCAGGGAGGGGGCTCATGGCCTGCCGAGGGGCAGGGGTGGGAAGAAGGGAAAGGGGTCTCTGGAAGGGGGAAGGAAGGGAGAAGGGGGTCTCTAGATACGGAAAGAAAGGGAGAAAGAGGTTCTGGAGGGGGAGGGAGTCGCGGGAGGGGGGGGGAAGTCGGGGAGGGGGGTCTGGGGAAATGGGAGAGGAGGGGGCGGGGGAGGGGAGAGGGAGGAGGATCTGGGGCTGGGGAGAGAATGGGAGTAGGGAGGCAGCTCTGGGGGAGGGAGAGGTGAGGAGAAGAGGCTGGGGAGCTGAGGGGGGCAGGAAATGGGGAAGGAAAGCGGGGGGGGGGGGGGGGGGGGGGGGGGGGG